CTATAAAATGAATAAATAAAGTTTGGACAGAAGCTAACTATATTAAAATGCAGTGGAAGCTAATTGCATATTACAGTTAAAGTACGGTATTGCAAATGTATATGCAAACAATCGGCAGTGCAAATCAATATTCAGTCAAAGTGAGTAGTGCAAGATGCATGTAGACAGTTGTTACAATAGTAACAGTCAGGAGTGCAGGTGAACATTACAGTCTGGTAAAAAACAGAATAGAAAAATAGTGGTAGGTGTGAGGAAGGAGGGTAGAGTCTATCCGTGAGGGTTAGAGTTTAGTAAAGAGACAGCTCTGGGAAAAATGCTGTTCTTTAGTCTGCTGGTTCTGGTCCGGAGGCACCTGAAACGTCTGCCGGAGGGCAGGAGAGAAAACAGTCTGTGGGCAGGGTGAGATGAGTCCTTAAGAATACTGCGGGCTCGATGTAGCAGCGTTTTCATCCCACTTTGGATGTTGCAACTCTTCTTTCTCAGAATCTGTTCAAATTTATTAGTCCTCCAAAACCCTAAACAGCCCATGGTGCAGACCAGGGAGCAGTCGTAGTTTAACATACCTCTCTGCAGCTTCTCTACTGTTACCCACTCCATCCAGACACTGCCTTGCCCAAGGGCAAATAAATTAGAAAAAATCCCATAGGATTAAATATTGATAATGTAATTAAATTTAAAAACGTTTAAACTATTTAATATGGTTAATTAAACATAACATATCTTTTTTCAAAAATTATCTTAGTTAATGATCTGTGATGTGATAATAAAATTGATTTATGTTTTATGCGAGTCTATATATACATAAGATTTATTCTTTCATCTAAGCCTTCAATGCTTATGTTAGATCCAGTTCTAACCAGGTTATTTAAGGAAGTATTCCATCTGATTTCCTTCTCCATTTTAGATGTGCTTTATCTTTCCCTGTTATGGGGATATGTGGCTACCTCAGGCTTTTAAGATAGCTGTGGTTGAACCTTTACTTAAAAAAAAAACGTCTTTTGACCCATATCACTTGGTCCGTTATAGACCTATATCCAATCTTCCTTTCTTATCTAAAATTTGTGAGAAAATGTTTGTAAAACAAGTGTGCGATCACTCACACCATAATGAAGTTTTTGAAGAGTTTCATTCTGGTTTTAGAGCTCATCATTGCAATGAAACTGCTCTGGTGAAAATCACTAATGATATTCTCATGTCCTCTAATAATAGACCTGTATTTGTACTTGTCCTATTAGATCTGAGTCCTACATTTGATACAGTTGATCATAATATTGTTTTAGAAAGACTTGAATAATTTGTAGGAATTAAAGGAACAGCTCTAGACTTCTTTAAATCTTTTTCATCTTAAGATTTCAGTTTGTTTATGTTAATGACAGATCTTCATCCTGCTCCACGGTTACCTGTGGAGTATCACAGCTATCATTGGTATGGCCAGTGCTCTTTACTATATATATTCTCCAATCAGCAGAATAATTAGACAGCATAGGATTAATTTTCACTGTTATGCTGATGATACCCAGCTATATCTGTCTATAAATCCAGATGAAGCTAACCCATTACATAGATTACAGGCATGTCTTGAAGACATAAAAACCTGGATGATTATTAACCTTCTGTTTCTGAATGCAGACAAAACAAAAGTTAATGTCTTTGGACCAGAGTCTTTGAAAAAGAAGCTGATTAGTCAGTCATTTCATTTGGATGTGATTAAGTTAATCTCAGATAATAAAGTAAAATTTCTTGGTGTTATTTTTCATCAGGGCCTGCCATTTAAATCCCATATAAAGGAGGTCTGTAGTAGTTGCTTCTTTTCTGCAAAAAATAGAACTATCCTGTCCAGGGGTGATGCTGAGAAAATAGTCCATGCATTTGTTACTTCAAGGCTGGATTACTGTAATTCTTTACTATCAGAAAGTCCACAAACTGTAGTTAAAAGCCTTCAGCCGATCCAAAATGCTGCAGCCAGAGTTCTGATTAAAATTAATACGACAGATAATATTTCTCCTACCCTGGCTGCTTTTAATTGGCTTTCTGATAGATTCAGAATAGAATTTAAAATCAATTTTCTTACATATAAAGCCTTAAATAGCCAAGCTATGTCTTATATCAGAGATCTGATCATTTGTTGTGTTCCTAACAGAGCACTTCACTCTCCATCTACACATTTACTAGTGGTTTCTAGAATTTCTAAAAGAAGAATGGGAGGCATATCTTTTAGTTATCAGGCTCCTCTCCTGTGGAACCAACTGCCAGTTATAGTCCATAAGACAAAAGCCCTGTCTACTATCAAGGCAAGGCTTAAAACTTTCCTTTTTGATAAAGCTTATAGTTAGAGTGGCTCAGGTTATTCTGAGCTATCTCTATAGTTATGCTGCTATAGGCTTAGACTGCTGGAGGACATAGGGACCCCTTTTCCTTATTCTGCTTCATTCTATCTATATTCTTCCCTTCTACAGTATTTGTTAGTTCAATCTCTAACGTTAAGTTCTCTCTGCTTTTTGTCATCATAGTAACTTCATCTGGTCTGTTCCTGTTTGGCTGTCACACCATCCCAGAGAGAAATATCAGCTGTGCTACTGCCTTCAACACCTTCATTCATAAATGTTGGAGCGTAGCCTGTTTTTCAGTGTTGTCCTGTTTCTCTTACTGCGACTAACTGTATTTGCTCTCTTTCATCCTTTGACATCAGAGCTGGCTCAGAGCTTGTCTGCCTGGCTGCGTCTTACCTTGAGGGGACCGCCTGTGGAGCTGGTCGACAAGTACCATTGGTATCTAGGCTTCTTTCTGTATGTTTGCTTCTGTCTCCTTGAACCTTCCCTTTCCTCCCCACTGCTGCTACATACATTTTTGGTATGAGGAATTGCTGTCCAGTCAATGAGTTGATGCAATTTGAGTTGAACCAATCTGACTGTATAATCTGGTTGAATTGTCTCTGTAAAGTGCCTTGACGTGACTTGTGTTGTGAATCTGCGCTATATAAAGAAACTGAATGAAAAAATTGAATTTACTGGATTGTCTGGAATAAAATTTTTGGTTTATTTTTTATTCATTAGTTGATTCACATTCCTTTATGGGCAGTTTCTTATTCACTGCAAAAACGATCTAGAAATAACTTAAAATTTCTTAAATCAAGTGTATTGACCCTTAATTTGAGTAGATAAATGACATAGTTTGCCAATGGAATGAGTAATTTTACTCTTAAAATAAGAAAATTAGATAGTATGCACTTTAAATAAGACAATGCAATTGTGTTTTCTTATTTTAAGTGTAAATTGTCTTGTTCCATTGGCAAAATGTATCTTTTAACTCCTCAATTCAAGAACAAATGCCCTTATTTTAAGAAAAAATGACTTATCTAGATTTAGATTTTTTGCAGTGTTTATGTCTTCTGTTCCTTTCCCTGGGGGAGTCAGAAGACATATCCTTGGTTATTAGTTATTGCAAGTCTTAGCTGTTAGTTAGTCTTCCTCCCTGAGTATCCCTGCTTTCATTCTGCTACAGATGTTCCACAAATGAGCTCTTTTTATTCCTTACTCTCTTTGCTGGTGCTGCTTGTCTGGCCTCCATGACCCGTTCTTCCTCAGCTGCCCTCTACTGTATGTCGTTATCTAATTTTGGAGAAACTCTGTTTTTCCACAGTCTGCACTTAGGTCCTTTTACAAACCACTTCACAAAACATTGAAAAAAAAAGGTTTTCTTCATGTAGTTTAAAGTGAACATCTATCAGCTTTTAGATGGTCTTAATATAGAACATAGACCAAATGTAAAGAGTTGAGACTGGGGCAAAGTAATTAATTATTTTCTAAAACTACATATTCACATCTCTTTTTATTTTTCTCAAATGCAAAACAGAAAAGGTTGATATTGATAATGTCATACAGTTTCTGGTTTCTTTTTTGAAAAGTCGAAACACGAGGATAAGCAGGTAGGAGGCATAGGGGGGAAGGAAAGTGCAGACGTCACAAAGACTCTCACACTTGTTGCTGCCTTCACGGACACGTCGAGACTCGGAAATCTGCGATATTGTAGTAAAATATCAATCTAACTAGATTAGTTTTAGATTTGATAAATTCAACAGTAAATACTAGAGATCAATAATCTCCGGGTGTTGGAACCTCTCTCTTTGTGCCGAAATTACACGGGAAAAGACACTGATGACGACGCAGGCATTTTAGATTTCCGATAGCACATAAAGGTGTCAACAGCAAAAGCAGGTTTCAGGGAAGGGGGGGCAGGATATTCACTGTAGCTTTGTCTCCCGCATCGTCACTGTCTACAGTAGCTTAGAATTATTTTACCATAATAAATAACATTTTAGCTAATTTAGCTAACGATAAAAAATGCTTCAGTCGCTAGCCAGCAATTCTTGCGTGCGTTTGATACAGAATCACAAATCGACGTGGTATTTCGTATCTTTAATTTTAGGCTATCTCCTTTATCTTGTATTCGGCGCCGTCGTCTTCTCGTCGGTCGAGCTGCCGTATGAAGACCAACTGCGTCAGGAGCTGAGGGCCGTTAAAAAGCAGTTCCTGGTGGACAATGATTGTCTGTCCGAGGAGCGACTGGAGCGGTTTTTAAAGAAAGCCTTAGAAGCCAGTAATTATGGGGTTTCTATTCTGAATAACGCCTCGGCTAACTGGAACTGGGACTTCACCTCCGCGCTGTTTTTCGCCAGCACGGTGCTGTCCACCACAGGTAGGTCCCTGCTGGATGATGCTGCTGCAGCATCCTCACCAAATATGTGCAAAAAAAAAAAATTCTTTCATTGATACTGTGTGGATAATTGGTAAATAATAACAATTTCTTTCAATTACAGATTAAATTAGTTAGTAATCAAAATGCAAAAAAGATTTTTAAGAATGTGCAAAATTAGGCCTATAAGACCATTGGTCATCCTATTGTACCAAACTGGGTAATTACGTTTAATAACAAGTTAATAACCTAACAGCAGAGGTGCCTTTTCATGCTCTGTAATCATGCCTTGCTCAATAGGATCAGCAAAGCCACAGCTATCTGGGGTTTCAACATTATTCACCCTGATGATACCTCACGGCAATAACAATATGGTGACTTTGCAGACCTCTGTGTGGGACTGAATGTAAGAGCTTCCTGCTTTTGTTTGTGGATGCATTTAACATTCATCTCAGCTGCTACTGCAAGTCTTCAGCACTTTGCTGTGGTTTGAGTTGTGTTTTTTTTGCTTTATAGTTTTATGACACAATTCAGTGTTACATTGCTATATTGCAATTAGATAAGGCCTCACTTCCTGGGGTGGAGCTAGATGGTGGGCCAGGGGTGGCCATGGGACCCCTTCGCCAATCATTGGCCACCCCCTACCATTTTTTTTTCTCTGAAGTAGAATTTTAAAAACATTTTAATTTTATATATATTAACATTTACTTGGCAACAAAAAAACGGTGGTTAATTATGCACATCAATATACCAACATTAGAGATGATTAGTGCAGAATTCATGCTCTTTCAGAACTATATTTTGTGTTATATGCGGTAAAGAGAAAAAATCTAAGATACTGTGAAATCATAGATACTGTAAATAACAATTCTAATGAAAAAACTATTAAATTATCAATTTATGTAAATATTAATACTTGTAAAAATCAATTTAATGTAGAATGATATTGATAAAAGTAGGTAAGTAATGATTGAAAAGATGTTTGCTCCAGAACTCAAACCTGAAAGAATTTCATCCAAAATACCTTTTATCTAGACGGATGTTTAAATATATGTATCTATTTGTTAGCAAATGCTGTAGGAAACTGTAGTTTGTCTTTATTTAGAAATGTTGACGTTGTGCTTGTTTCTGTTGGAATAGTGTAGATTGACCCTGAGGTTCTGCCGCCCATCCAGTATACATTGGTTATTGTCTGGCCACCCTTATAAAAATTTTCTGGCTACGCCTCTGCCCACATGGAGAACAACCCTTTATTTTTGTCATAATTTCTCGACTTTTTGCACTCTGTTTAATGCAGCATAAGTTAAAGAATATAGAAAAGAATACTTTGCTGAAATAATGAATATGTTTGTCTCCTCTGCTTCACCTCAGTGAGCTTGGATGCTTTAAAATCACCTCACAAGAGCATAAAAAGTTCCTGAACCTCTCCTTTCTGCACTCTCATTACAGTACAGCCTCAAATTTAATCTCCAACCTAATCCTGAAGATTTTTAGTTGCAAAACTTTGCGCTAAAACACCTCAAATACAAAGCCTTCAATATTTAAAACGCCCTTCTTTAAAGTTGAATAAATACCAAAATGAAGCTATTAAAAACAAAAGCCTACCCTGATCATTAAAAAAAGAAAACAAAAGATTTCTATAATATATTTAATTTAAAAAGAACAACTAAACTTTGTGTGCCGGCTAGAACTTTAATTGAGAACATATTAAAATCAGTAAGGATGGCATTAAAGGTGTGCCAGCAGCCTCCATCTTTGTCTGAAGCTTAACGTTTATGACTACCTGGTGTCTTCCTTGTTCTGGTTTCTTTGTGGATATGGTTTATATTGTACAGAAGAACAAACATAAGTGCAGCTGTTCACCAATATGACCTTTAAAAGCAGAAAGGTAAAATGGAAGTGATTCTTCTATTAAATAAAAAATAACCCACAGGGAATTTTTCAAAAAACATCCAACCTCAATTTTTTCAGAGTACATGTAAAATAACAATTAACCCAATCCCTATGTGTAAAGTAAGCATGGATGTTCTAAAAAACAAAAACAAAAAAAACAGCCTTTGATTTGAACAAGATGGCAGCTGTGAAGTTACTTCAATCCTGACTGAAAACCTTTTTCACACCTTTGTATTTCTTAGACTATCAGAGGAAAGGTTTATATTTATATTATATTTCTACAGGGCAGAATTATGTGAACAGTTTACAAAATGAAACTGAAGTATATAGTTTCAGATGGGAAAAGGGATTTTCAAAGGTAACTGATTCTAACCCTGTGGCTGAAACTTCCCGTCCCACCTGTTTTAGCTTCAATATTTCTGCTGTGATTTAGAGAACTGGTGAAAAAAAAAAAGATCTGTGAAACTTGCAGAAACACACCCATAGATACCGAGGTCACCATTGTTCCTCTGCACTGTGTAATCAGCTGCTCATTGAACACATTATGTAAATTAAGCATGCCGTATCTGTTTTTGGTCTACAGTTCAGAGCAGATTTTATATTGATTTAGGATTTTTTGCATGCCTTATACCCCAGTGTTTTTAGACATTTTTATAATTTTATTTACCCATTTCATATTATATGTTTCATGTTGCACGATTGTACCATAAAAAATTCCTAGTTGTGAACTTCTTCACTAACAATGGCAATAAACCCGATTCTGATTCTGATCTGATTCTGATTCTGAAAACTTGCATCAGTGCAACAACTGAAATTTTGTTCTATATAGAAGCCCATTTTAGATCTAATACATTTTCTGTTTGTGTTTCCAACAGGATATGGTCACACAGCACCTTTATCCGACGGCGGCAAGGCCTTCTGCATTATTTACTCCATGATCGGCATCCCCTTCACCCTTCTCTTCCTCACCGCCGTGGTCCAAAGGATCATGGTGTTTAGCACACGGAGGCCCATCACTTACATCCACACGCGATGGGGTTTCTCCAAACAGCTTGTGGGCATCGTTCACGCCACCCTGCTGGGCATTTTGGCCGTCTCCTGCTTCTTCCTTATCCCGGCTGCCATCTTCTCTGCATTGGAGGAAAACTGGAACTTCCTGGAGTCATTTTACTTCTGTTTCATTTCGCTCAGCACCATTGGCCTTGGAGACTACGTACCCGGAGAAGCGGCCAATCAAAAGTTCAGGGAGCTGTATAAAGTGGGCATCACTGGTGAGTTTGAAGGAGATCCTTCCATTTCTGGGTGGTGGCGCACTGGGCATTGATTATCAAATTATCATGCTAATTTATCGTTTTTATTTGGTATATTCTGCAGCAAAAGATTCCCAGGTGTTTAGATTGCTCTAGCTTAGACTTAGGGTAATGTCCTCCAGCTCCTCATGTGATATTTACTTACTCTTCCTGACAGAAATCTATTAGACTGCCCTCCTCTAAGCTCTATAGTCATGACAACACAGATTTTCTATTAGGTTTATTTTTTGCCTGTAGATGGGCTGCTCCAAACTTTCAAATAATGAAGTAATTCCTGTATTGGTTTGATTGTATTCTTGGGTAAAAAAGAGATGCTTGAATATTGAATATTCAATATTTTGCTTCCTAGTGGAACAAAGACACCTGAACATCTTTGATCCAAATTCTTTCTCAGTATGAACTGCTCATACTTTCACCCATCTCTATTAAAGCCTTATTTCAAGATATGTAATTCCAGATCATGATGCTGCCTTCACCGTGTTTCATTAAGAACATTTTAGGCAAACCTTGGTTCTTCATTTTAAAATGGCAGACTTCTGTCGGTCAACCATAATTCTTAGTCCAGACACATGGGGGATAGAGGAGGCTGCTGTCACATACTGAACAGAACCAGTACCAACCAGAAATTACAGCAGATGCATCCTTCTGCCTCCTGATGCTTTCTGGTCCCTTTATTAAAGGAAAATGTAATTTTTTCTCTGTGATTTACCTTATTATAGATGACTGTTTTTTACTGGGCTGATTTATAGATCTATAATACTGAAGGATATTTTTCATGGACCCTCCTCCTGACAGATACATTTCTGCAATATACCCTTATCTTTGGTTATTTTTTTGTTATCAATAGTGCTACAGATAAAGGATGCAAACTTCAAGAAAATTAAACAACTTTAATGTCTAGTAGCTATTTAAGACAAATCTGAATCTAAAGCAGTGGAGAGGAAAGCTGTTTGAGCTAACTGTTTTCTACATTTATACATTTATTTTACATGTTTTAGTTTGTCCCTTACACGTAAGTCCATGTTTTATAAGCTTGAAAGTGTGTACCTACTTTTAAAAGTACAGTACTCCAACTGTTTTTTTTATTTGTGATTCTTGCTATTCTTCAGAACCTTAAAACCAAACTCTTCTTCTGTTGTCTTTAGGTTTATTCAACAAAGGGAAAGAAAAATGAAGCATATATTTTCACGCACTAAACGCGTCACCTAATCCATAGAACCATAAGGATCTTAAAGAGAGGCCTTGTGAACAGAAACCTTTTGCCTGTAATGATCCACAGCCTGCATGTCTCTGCTTGCATTAGTGGAATATAAAACCGCTATATAACCTAGAATCCAATGAAAATTGATTCACACTAGATAAGATATCTTCAGTGGAATAAGTTCTCTTTCTGAGAATAGAAGTTGAACCATGAAAATATCAAATCTACATGACTTTATGATGGTGTGCTTTGACCTGCACACGTGTAACACAATCAACTAGGTCAGTTCCTTGATCCGTGTGTGGAAACCTGCAGAAGTGTCATTAGTTCTCTATTATATCACCATTGACATGCTGACTGTACTAGAAAACAGCTGGGTGTTAATAAACAGAGCAATAATAAACAAACCAAATAACGGGAAATCAAATGTCAATTTTTCAATTACTTCAGCAACAAATTCCCAACGCTAAACAACAAGCATAGAAGAAAGTTTAGACTTTCAGTATTGACCTTTCCTCTTTATTAGGCAGCATATCATATTTTAACTGTAATTTTATGTTAGAAAATTCAATAAAGGAACACCGGAAATGCTTCATTGCTTAATGCCTGTGCCACATCATTTATATGTTATAAGAACAATAAATCCTCAAAGCAGAAATCGACGTCTTAATAAAAAATGTAATAAAGTGATAGAGTGTATAATTTTAGGTTCATACTAGACATGCATTGGTTACAGGGATTTAAACCAGGGATTTAAAAAGCTGCATTTAAAAGAAGCTAACTGCTGCTGCACACTTCCCATAAGCTGGCTGAAGGACGGCTTCAACACACTTCCTTCTTGCACAACCCGGAAAATCTTTAGAAATATCCCCATATATAGGAAAACACAGACAGCCGTGCTTTGGAAAGGAGCAGCTATAGCAGCTATACTTTACAGCAGGCAAATTCATTTAGAGAAGATGTAGCAGGGCGTGCAGGTGGTGCAGTGGTTAGTGTGCTCGACCCATGTATGGACGCCTTAGTCCTCGACCCGGGTTTGAATCCGTCCTGCGGTCCTTTGCTGCATGTCTCTCACCCTCTCTCATTACCCCTTCCTGTCAGAAAAACGAGTCACTAGTACCGTAAAAAGAAAAAAAAGAGACAATGTAGCAATCCATCAGCTTGTTAAACTTAAGTTACTTTTAAAAGATAGCAGCAAAATATTTTAATTTTTAAAACAATGGAGCTTCCTTGAAACCTTTGCTGCATCAAAATAACCTTGAATTTTTCTTCTAGATTGCATTAATATCACTTTAATATTCACATCTTTTGCAGTAGTATAAATAATTGCTGGGGGGTTAGAGTATATATCAAATCTTTGGCTTAATAATTCTATTGCTGCATATTGGAGAAAAATGAAATTCAAGTAGTGCTGCATGTTAGTGTTTTAACTATTGGGGATTGTAAACCAAACCACAGGGAATCATTTCATTTGAGAATTTAAACAGCAGAACTAGTGTAGAATCTGCTGGAACCCACAGTACTGCAGATTTCTGAACAAATATATATCTATAGCTCATCAAAAGTAGTGGGTAGTAACTGAGAAAGGAGGAGTTGACATTTCCTTGTTTGAAACCATAACAAGATGGTGTTTGTCTCAAAGTGGGCCTTGGCTGACTGCAGGAAGTAAAGCAGGGACTGGATCTTCTGGGTGACTTGCTGTCAGCAGCCCTATTGGAGGCTAATAGCGTCTTGAATGGAACGCAGTTCCAGAGCTCATAGTCCTGACAAGCTGTGGGTGTGCGTGAAGCCAAAAGCTGCTGTAGTGAACAGTCTCCAACATGTGTGACGTGGGAGTTCGATACGCTGCAGCCAGAGAGGTGACGTCAGTCAGCAGGAAGAATGTGTCAGTCAGTGGGAGGGAAACAAAAAACAAAAAAAAAAAACACATCTCCAACAGAACGGACTTGTTTGCAAAAACAGCATCAGTTGTAAAAACTTCCTCTATGCTAAATAAAAAACTGTAGGAAGTGACATCAACTCTATTTCCAAAACGATAAGGACCCTGGATCCAAACGCTCTTTATTCATTTCTGACAAATATGTTTCACTTGTCACTCACACAGACAGCAGGAAACTCTCACTTTCAAGGAAATGTTTTTGAAGACATTATAATTACAGCAGATGCTTTTTTCCCCTCAAACTCAGAGTTTCCATAACGTAAAAGTCATAAAAACATATTTAGGGACACACCTGAAAACAACTCTGAATAAACTCATAGACGTGCTTCTTTAGGTAATGGACAGCTAACTGCTGCCCTCTTGTGTTTGTGAAGTAAGGAACAGATTTTTACAGCATAATAATATTTCAGTAGTGCCTAAAAGACGGTGCTGTAAAATTAATTAAAAAGATTAATGATAATAAAAACTAAGACTACAGATCCATGTCAGTAAATTCCAAATTCATCAAAAGGCTTATTTCAATAAAAAGTGAGGCTTATGGAACATAAATAAGGGTGCACTTGTCAATTAATTGGGAACTAATGATTTCCTTTCATTTTAGGAGATTTCTGCAGATACTTAGATGTGAAACTTATCTTATCTACCTCTGCAGTAGTCTGAGAATCACCCAATGTCAAAGCTCTAAACCTTGATTTATATGTGAGAGCAGTAATTCGAGAGGTTTTTATTGCATTAATGGTACTGATTAAACTTTTCTCAAGATTAGGTTCAACATCGATACTTTCTTGTTATGCAATAACAATTGACAGTGTCAGTTCTCAAAAAAAAAAAGTACAGACATGTTACATCGTGACCATGGTGTGCCCGACGCTGTCATGGAGAAGACCAGCTACTCAGAATTCAAATCCTCCACAGATAGTCGTTGTTTAGAGAGCACGGCCATCTGCTGGCGGTCTGCTGAGTTTTAATGTCAGTTGTAAAGAGAAAGACGAAAGACTGCAGTCCCGGCAATGGCAGCCATTAAAGCAACCTGAGATGTTTAACACCATGCGGTCACAGGTTGACCTTCTCCATTTATTTATTTTTAAAAAAAGTTAAAATATGTTGACGTACTTTTGCTGTGATGTAAAATTCATAGGTGGAAAAAAAAAAATACATTTAGATTTTTTTTTTATCAAGTGTTTTTTAGGTTTCCATAAGCTGTAAACTAAAATTTATTAAATGTAATCAATTAAAGCAAGTTTAATATAAACACATTTTAAAGATTCATTTAATTATTGCAACAAACCTGTTTTTAAGCAGACATTAAAGTGATAGATCCTGCTGTAACACTTCTTTATGGAATTATTAGTTCATGCATGTGTTGATTTGTTTCTCGTTCTGCAGTCTACCTCATCCTGGGACTGATCGTCATGCTGGTGGTGCTGGAGACCTTCTGCGAGCTGCAGCAGCTGAAGCAGCTCAGGAAGATGTTCTACCTGAAGAAGGAGAAGCCGCAGGACCGCATGGCCATTCTGGAGCACGACCACCTCTCCTTCACCACCGTGTCTGACAATGCCGTCACCAAGAGTGTGGACAAAACCAAGACGTTTGTGGGCGTCCCGACTCTTACCTCCTCTAACGATGACCCAATGATCCAGTAAAGAACGCTCGAAGTGTAAAAGAGGGGAATAAGAATGAAGGGTGGAAGTTAGGATGAGGAAAAACCCATCAAAGCTTTAGGCAAACTTAAGATAAAATCAGTTCAATTACACAGATCAAGCAAGCAGCACCAACTTTTAACCCACAAACCTGACAATGGTGATGGTGTTAAGCAGCAGAGACATAATCTACATAATAAAGGAGAAATTAATATTTTAACACTGCCCATAAATACAAAGGCAGCGATAAAAGGAGAATCCTCTGCTGTATTTATGAATCACTAAATCTAAGCGCCTTTTAAAGCTACATTATTTATGGCACACTTGGGAATATTTGATAAAAGATTAATCTCTTAAATCTAAATTAGGACATAAGTTGAGTTATATCTTTAAAATAGAGTTTCTTGACTCAAGTTTTTGTACATAATCGGGTGGATGTTTCAAACGTACGAAGTGAGAGTGGAAACTTAAACTGATACTGTTTCTAAAAATATCACTCCATCATGGCCTGTTTTAGGTTTTTTTTTTTTTTTTCATTTTTGGGGCATTTTATTTTTTCTTACTCCTTTAGCTGCAGAGCTTTACGGGCCTTTTATCGATGTCAGTATTTATTTAATTATTAAGTTTTATTTTGAAAGAAAATAAAAGCGTGTTGCACAATTGATTACGAAGGTTACGTAAGGACAGGGTTATCAATTTTATTTCCATTTAGTTTGCTATTGATTAACAAATAGAACATGTTTTTAAAAAGTAATTTATAGAGCTGTTGTGTAAGATTATCGTATGTTCTCTTCATATTTCATACATTTCTGGATCTTCTTTACTGTGGTGTTAACTTCTCCTGGTTGCACTACGTGTTTTCATTGTAAGGGAACAAAAAGATTGCTTACATTTGTTTCACCTCAACTGGTTGAGGCCCTCCCCTCAAAGCTGTCCACGTGTAAAGCCTGCAGGTTATTGATCCGTCCCAATGGTTGAATGAGTGTTTTGGATAAAAGGGAAGTGAGGTTAGTTATAATCATGAAGGAAATTTAAATAAAAGGGATTTAAACTGTAGATTTGACTGTATTTATAACGATTGAATGTGGAAATGTTTGTTTTTGGTTTTGACTTGAAAAACGTTTACAGATTGCTTTGAATGACAGAGATACTGTACCAGGAAAACTTGAAATCCATCTCCGGCTACAGTTCCTGTGATGTGCTGCAGCAGTTTTGCATCCATGCATCTCATAACAAAGCCAGTTCTTTTGCTGCTTATGCTGTTTGGAAGATTAGCACAAAAACATTCATCTACAGAGTTTCAAGGCTTTCTAAGCCTTGGAGAGAATTTTTGTGTCATCTCACATTAGGGCTGCATCAATCCCTTTTTTTTAAGCGCTTGAATGTATTCAATGTACTGTTTTTTTCCTCTATGTAAAGCATTGTTTTAGTTTTATTGGAATGTTTAGGATTTTTTTCTACTGCTAAGCTTAGTAATAATTGGAATTTTCCGCCTGTAAGTGAATTATATCACCTTTAAGACAGTAATGAATTAAAATGAGTTATTGTTTCTCACAGATTGCATCAGATGAAATTGAAATAATGATGAAATGCTGCATCAGTGCTTGCCAAGCTTGTCAGGTTGACAAGCCGCCTTCATGATCAATGGTGTCAATCCTTAATTTGGGCCAGATAATGAACTTTTTTAGGTGTAGAATAAAAAGCCTTCTGGGGATCTGTTAACGTTTCCATCTTACAGTTAAAAATGGTCCTGTCAGGTTTAAGTTGCCTTTGCATGAACTACTTTTGATTTTTTTTTCCTTTTAATTTTTTATAGGTTTGAAAACTAACCTTCTCTTCTGTAAACTCCATTACATTTATATTGTTCTGTTGCTGGAATATTTTTTTTCCACACCATTCTGGGCCTTTGTAAAAAAAAAAAAAAAAAAAAAAAAACAACTGTGAAAAATTGATTGTCTGCTGAGTAGAAAATCATTTAGTAAATTTTGTCTCTTACTGTAAAATGTCTGGTTTGTAGCTGCATCTCCAGCTTAATGTCTGTGATCCTGCTTTTATGTTTGACCTGAAAGCGAGAGCTGTGAGGGAACAGGATAACGGTTTGTATTGGAGAGAAGACATTATGTGAACAACGACAAACGGAAACGGCGACCATTTTTTATTTATGCTGAGAAAACTGACATTTTTGGAGTATTTGGATCCATGAGCTTTTGTATATATATTTTTTCAGTTGTTGTCAGTGATGTTGCATATTCTGATGCACAGTTAAGTATTTTACTGTTACAATGTTAATAATTCAAAACAGTAGTGTCACTGGGTACCTGATATTCATTTCAGCATAAGACAATACACTGTAAAATGAAAATCCAAGCTGTAAAACTGTGTCTGAAATAAAATGTTGGATAATAATAACTTGAGGATTTCTCAAATGACTTCATCCTTTAATCTGAATATATAAGAATATTGTCAAAGTTGCTTTATTTTACTAATGAATCCAAAAAGTCCCATATTGAAATTACAAGCTGTTACACAAAAGATATTTCAGGCATTTCATTTGATGACTTTTAAACAGACTTTCTTAGGATTAGAACATTTTAAAAGTAAAATAATAAATCTCTATGATTTGTCATGTGACCCTAAAAAAATAGATGACTGCCGACTTTACAGCTACTTGACATCCTCAACATGGATGGGTGGACAAATAAAAAATATATAAGCTGGGTTCTGCATGTAGCACAGTGAAGGAAAGTTTAGAGGAAGGAAAAAGAGAAGTCAAAAAGGTAGCAAAGCAAGATGAATAACTAAAAGGAGCATAGACAAAGTTCCCTTTATTATAACATATATCTTCATGCTCATCATCCATACATCTATTTTGAAGTTTCACTACGTGCAAGTCGTAATCATTGAAGCTAAGAGGAGTGCATATTTCAAAGACACCACTGACACTACATTTGAAATTAAATTTTTAGAATTGATAAACTATTTTTATTTCTTGAGCTTCCTTAACTTCTGCCATACTGTAGGAAGAATAGGACTCTGGCTTATCGTGGTTTAACCCCTTGGATATATGGTCTGATATAGTGTCAGCTTAAAGAAACTCAAGCAGTTATATAACGTTAAATTACCAGTAAAGTGGATGAAAGATAAAGAAAGTTAAAAGAATAACACAATATAATCTACACACATCTATCAGCTGACATAAAAGAAACGAGGAGAGATAATGATAATGAAAGAGATTTTATGCAGGGTCATGCCTTGCAAAATATTCTGCTACTTAATTGAACTGCTTTATCCTCTCATCTCTTTGATTTCTAAAAAGAAGGTGGAGGATCAGAACATCTCTGTGCAGTAATTGAAGTCGGAGAGCTCAGATATCCCAGTCAGTAATTAAGTAGAAGTGTTGTTTTCGTTTAACCAAGGCACAAAAGCAAGATCAGACTCAGTACTTCTTAACGAAGCACTAATAGCTATTAGAAACAGTATTAAAACTGGACAATATCTGGAAAAACAAAACTTCATTAAATAAAATGCAGAAGAAACTCCTTTCTTGTATTTGCATCATTTTCAGTTGAATGATGTAGATCATTCTACTGAGAACATAGTTTATTGTGTCTTGCAGCTTCAGAGGTGCAGTGTCGAGCTGAGGGAAGTAGATTTAATAGTGCAGCGCTTTTGTTTTATTCAGCAGCTGTATTTTTTATCTCAGAGAAGTGTAATTACCTCTGACATGCAGGCACTTTTCCCTGCAGAGCAGCTCAACCAACATCTGTATTGTCAGGTTTTATGGGGGGAAAGCCGCTCAGAAACTTGCTAGCAGCAAGTTATATTATTGGATGCATGTAGCAAAACCACAATTACCAGTAATTGGAAATAACTGTCAGAGACGTTGCCTATCATTTGAAGTATAAATGCATAATGTTGGAAGGTGCTTCATGCTTGCCATGTTTGTTCATTTAGATGGTGTTATAATTCAGTAACAAATAATGTGATCGGATCAACAACCTCTGAGTACTATTAAATTGATGTTCTCTGTAAAAGTAGCTGCCGCATTTATCATTCGCAGGCTTTTCTTAGAACCTCCCAAATCGAATCTTTGCAGGCGGATATCGGATAGTCATTGCATAAGATTGTCTGCAGCTTCCAATTGAAATGATTTCCTGTTTTCACTGTAGTCTGTGGACATTTGGCTTCAACCGTCAAATGCAGGACATTTTCCTGTGGTAGCTTTAGGAAATCTGAGAGGTTTCAATGTAATCCACTTATAGTGTGTTGTGAAAGTATTCAAATTTATTGCAACTACATATGTATTTACACTATATATTTAAAAAAGTTTATTTATGTGATCAAATTAGATAATGTTTCAGAAAATTTATTATTTTCTTGAGAACATCCATTTTATGTCAGGCTTTGGTGGAAATTGGTTGAGGACCTAACTGCGGTGATGAGGAGGCAGAGATGGGTTCTTGCAGATTTAATCAAAACCCAAAGGCAACAGAAGTCCTCAAACAAAATACAGAAAACCAAAAGAAAAAAACGAAAAAAACAGGAGATGCCAGAGAGAAGCAACACATGGGAAGCAAAGCAACGAAGCAAAAACACAGCAATCAGGAACTGCAGAGGTGGTGTATATATGGGGAACAGAACAAAGAATGGACTAATGAGCTCATATGGAGGAGCTGTGGATAGAAGCAACTATAAGGGAACCAAGGGGAAAGGAAACTGGCACAAGGGGGCATCAGAGAATAACACAAAAACTCAACACTGCCAGAACAACTACAAAGAAACAACATTACAGAGAAACAAAACATAAACCTAAACAAATGGCACCTAAACAAATAAACAAAATTTAACACGAAATCCCACTGTAATAATTGCTTCTTTTTTTTTCTCAGCGAGCTATGAAATAATTGAAGAGTTCCAACACAAATACAGATAATCAGCACAGTTAGAACAAAGTTTAAACCAAAGTAAGAAATATAAGCATTTAAACTCAATGATTGGCTGAAAGCATATATACTTAGTAAAATTACTGCTTTTGCTCCTTTTATTGCATCAAAGCTTTA